CTTTTGATCCCTCATCTACATAACCTCACTTCTTGAGCATTGAATTTGTCCCCTTTGTGATCCCTCGTCTACATAACCTCAATATTTAATTCTTAAAATTCATTTTTCCTTAATACAATCAATCCTTAATCTGGACCAACATAACCTCGATCATTAACTCTCAAAACCCTTCTCTTCTTGGACCATTCACCATAGACATAACCTCACTTCTCGAGCACTAAATTTTTCCTCTTTTTGCTCAATCACATAACCCCAATATTTAATTCCTGAAACTAATTTCTCCTTAATTCAATCAATCCCTACCCTCGACCTACGTAACCTCACTCCTTGTTCCACCCCACCCCCTACGAAAAACTTGTCTCCCCTAGGTCCCATCAATCTCCGTCCCCCGACTACGTAGTCTTACTCCCCTTAAACTCGCTCGTTTTCGCTAATCCATCGACTTGAGTGAAATATCGTCGCTTCGTTAACGAAACCGTGCTGATATATTCGACATGAGATAGTTTACGGACAGTCGCACGCGAGTGAAGTTTCCCGAGGGTCCCCCGAAGATTTCTGGCGCGAAGAGGATCAAGATGGTGGCCTGGGTGCCGGGTTTTCTCACGGGGTGCGTTGCGTGAAACACGCTCGGCGTATACTTTTGCACGGGGGTGAATTTCCTGCGATGATTCATCGCGAGCATGATTCACGGGGGCGCGAAACGGTTTCTCGAACAGTAATTGGTGACAGATGGTTTAAGGGGGGCGAACCGTTGATCGTTTCGTGGTGTTGTTGTTGTTCGTGCATTTCCGTCGGGAACCATACTTTGTGGGAACAATTATTGCTGACGACTCTGATGTGTTTGACTTCAGAAATTTCGTGCTTGGTGGCTGGACAATTTTTATTTTAATTCCTTTCTTATTCCTGTTTATATTGAACCCTTTGACTGCGGAGGGCGTATATATACGCCCTCGAGAGATAAGCTCCGAGAAATGTTTGTATTCGTTAAATCGATTTAAAAAAAAAATATCAGCTTATAGGGGACGATAAGAAGAAACTTTTTCATATTTACGGTTTATTCAGAGGATGCTTAGTTTCGGAAATAAAAATTGAAAAGTTAAATGTTCGTTGGAAAAATTGAATTTCAGGAAAAGGGTCTTCTAAGATTTCTATTTCTTATCTCTGAAACTAAACGTCCCATGAACAAACTGTAAATATATAAAAGTTTCATCTTATCATCTTACGTCTATGAGGTAATATTTTTTAATACATCGACAAGTAAGTAATTATCAACTAATCATGCTTTCATTTTCACTATTTCAAATGTAATCGAATTCATAGAAAAATGATCTTCTACGTTCTTAATTTCTATTTTAGAGACTATACGTCTTACGAATAAACTGTAATTATAAAAAAAAGTTCCGTCTTATCATTTCCTATAAACTGATATTTTTTTTTAAATTCAGACCTCTACGTCACTTGGAATTTCTAGCAAAGATCGTCCCGCAGTGAAAGGGTTAATATTAATGTTAATGTTGATTTAATTTTAATTTCTCTTCAATTCCTATGTAATTTTAATTCTAATTTTAATTCTTTTCTAATTTCATTTTAATTTTAATGAGAAGTAAATTTGTAAGAAAAAATTGTCTGGTTAGGAGAAGATAATTTGCTGTCGACGAATAGAGATCTCCGGAGGTCAGGAAACGCATTTCGGTGGAAACCGTAGGCCTATCTCTCGCGATAAGTGAAATCTCCGGAAATCATGTTTGGCAATCACGTGCCGGGCGGATATTGAATAAAGCGGTGGCGGTGCTCTGAAACATAATGAAAAGCAAGATGAGTCCGCGAGATTACCTTGCAAATTGCGCGCTGCGTACCTTCTTCTTCTTTTTTTTTTTTTTTTTTAACCTCTTTCTCGAGAAAGACGAGTCTACTCAGCACTTGTACCATTTCTTACGATATTTTCTTACATTCGTTTGAATACGCATTTCTGGAACTCTTGGAACAGAATATACAGTCAGCCTCATAAGTATTCGTGCCCTTTGCAACTATCGACGGTATTTGTTTAAACGAAATAATAGGTTCAATGTTCCAAAATATATTTTTCACGTGTTTACACGTATATATATTTATAAGGAAATATTTACTTAGAATCTTCAAACCTATTATTTAATTTAAACAAATTTTTTCAATAGACTGCATGTCGTTGCAAAATTTAAAGAAACTCTTTTTTACTATAATTCATATGGTTCGTTCAAATTCAATTAAGTTCGAACAATTAGGATCGATTGAAAAATATGAAAAATTTTGCTATGAGAGTAAATACATGTCTTTTCGAACAACGTTCTTAATTCTACACGTAAATATCGTCGATAGTTTTAGTGTTCAAGGTGAAAGAGAATGTGGGGAAAGTACAGCGAGTATAAAAGTGTACGATGGAAAAGGAGCAAACTCTGTTACAGTTGTTCAGTAATTTTTCTCGTTCATTTTAGAGGCGAGGAAATAAACTCACCAAACACTTATACCTAGGAGAACCACCGTGAGTTATAATAGCGAGTTATAATACCGGTGCGCGTGGAGATTCGATGCTTTCGAGATGCACGACTTTCACGATTGGTAATGATATCGCGAGCAGAAACATGACGACGTTTAAAAAACGTCTAATGCCAGCGCCTCTCGGTCACCTTTCCCTCGGATTTCACGAATTAATCTCCTTTCCGAGTGAAGCCGTCGCCAGATTTGAAAAGTATTCTGCTTTATTCGTCGAACGATTCGCATCTCGCCCGATAAAGACGTGACATAGTCTTTTTAACACTTACTCGATAACTGCAGCGAAAATGTCACGAGTCCGTGGCGACAGATAAGCGCGAAAAAAAAAATAATCACGACCATTTTTCCGATGAGCAATTAACCTATAGGCTGGGATAACTGGTCGATCGTAAATAACCGTGTGCATGCGAATAAAGATGATTTTACGGTTTGCTTCGCGACGAGTGACTTCATTTATGGCTATGCAAATGTGAGGTAGAATTGAAAATGGACTTCAGGCGAATGAGGAAAAATCGAAGTTTCTTTGTTTTCCCAGTCTGTGCATTTAATAATATTGTTCGAAGTAATATGCAAATATCGAAGCAGAATTGAGGAAAAACGTTATCACATGAATGGAAAAGATTGAAGTTTTTTTCTATACTCAGTGGATGTAATTATTAATATTGTTCGAAACAAAATGTATTTATTGGACTCCCAAAGTAAAATTTGTCACATTTTTTAATCGATCCGAGTTGTTCCCATTCGATTCAATCACCAAAATTTATCTAAATCTGCATAAGCCATACAAATTGTAATAGAAAAAGTTTCTTTAAATTTAGCAGCAATATACAGTTAGTCTATTAAAGAAATTGTCTAAATTAAATGATAAGATTGACGAATCCAAATAAATGTTTCTTTATAAATATATACACGTGTACGTATTTCTCTTGAAAAGACTACTAATATTGTAATAATAATAATAACATATTTATATGAAAATAATATTTGCACAGCGGGTATTGCCACTGAGCAAATCATCAGTGGTTGCAATTGATAATATTGTTCGAAGCGATCTGTAAATATTAAAGTAAAATCAAAGTGGATACGGTTGATAATATTGTTCGAAACGAAATTCAAATACTGTGACAGAATTGTGGTCGAACCTCCTCAGGAGAACGGGGAAACTTGTATCGTATTTACCTCAACAGGGAATTTTCTTTTTGTTGACAGTTTCCCGTCGAAGATGGAGCGTCCGTCGCAGCACGGCCAGAACGTGAACCAGGTCCACGCCGCAGGCATGCACGGGGTGTACTCATCCGGCAGCCAAACATCCCTAACGACGTCCTACATCACGGGCCAGTCGTACATTCAGAATCAAAATTACGCCCACGCCCCTTACAATTCCTCGTCGAACGTGCGAGTATACTCGCACACGGGATACAACCAGCCGCAGAGTTACGGGACCATGGTCCAGGGCTACGGTGGTCAACCTCAGACAGGGTACCAACAGAATCACCTTAAAAAGGGACCTGTACGTAACGGAGACGTGCTGAAGAGATGCCGGCTGCAGACTGCGTAAGATTCCATTGATCTGAATCGTTTAAAAAATTCTAGATTGAATCGATAGATTACACGAAAAGCGATTCAATTTTTCGAACGTCGCACGTCGAAGTTCGACGAGGCGTTAATCTATTGGAATGCAAAGTCTGTGATCTCTTAAACGAATTGTAGTCGACCTCTTCGTGCTTCGTCTCTCGCTCTCTCGAGGCCGTGATATACCGCACGTCTTCGTTGCCGATTCAGTTCACTTTTGATGTAGTTAATGCTTCTCGTTTTGGGAGCTTCTTAGAGCACGAAAGTGTAAGGCTGAATAATCGGTCGAAGTATATCCTAGGTGTAAACATCGAGGCTGGATACCACGAATATTTCAGCTCACGGCGAGTACGGAAACTAATGGCGCCACGGTAGCGCCTAGTAACTAGTAACTAATGACGTCTCTCGCTGGCGCTTCAGTCCACCGTGGCACCTCTCAGTGGCGCTCCAGTCTACTGTGGTACCTCTTAGTGGCGCTCCAGTCCAATGTGGCACCTCTCAGTGGCGTCCCAGTCCATAATGGCGCCTCTCAGAGGCGCTTCAGTCCACAATGGCGCCTCTCAGAGGCGCTTCAGTCCACAATGGTGGCCCTCAGTGGCGCTCCAGTCCAATGTGGCACCTCTCAGTGGCCTCCCAGTCCATAATGGCGCCTCTCAGAGGCGCTTCAGTCCACAATGGCGCCCCTCAGATGTGCTTTAGTCCACAATGGTGGCCCTCAGAGGCGCTTTAGTCCACTGTGGTGCCTCTCCGTTGCGCTTCAGTCCACAATGGCGCCTCTTAGTGGCGCTCCAGTCCACTGTGGCACCTCTCCGTTGCGCTTCAGTCCGCAATGGCGCCTCTTAGAGGTGCTTCAGTCCGCAATGACGCCTCTCGCTAGCGCTTCAGTCCACAATGGTGTCTCCCAGTGGCGTCGCTAATTCGCTTATTCGCCATGCACTGATTCCAGCCCCGATATGAGTTCAAAAACGTCAGACTCCGTCATTCCCCAATATATTCCCCGTTCCCAACATCACCCCACAAGATTATTCTCACCATTCCCGCTTCCGGAACAGATACGAGCTGTCCCAGGACCTCCTGGACAAGCAGATCGAGATGCTGGAGAGAAAATACGGAGGAGTGAAGGCGAGGAACGCGGCGCTGACGATTCAACGGGCGTTTCGAAGATACACGCTGCTGAAGAAGTTCGCGGCCATCACCGCCATGGCCAAGGCGGAGAAGAGGCTGAGCAGGAAGCTCCAGGAGACGACGGACCGATCCGCGGCCATGAACGAACACGAGAGGATGGTATACCACAGTCAGATCTACATCCAGCAGCCGCAAACCGCGAACAGACCTATGCCCATCAGGAGCATGTCCTTGAGAGAGAGGAGACACGTGGAGAACTCCCAGTCCCCTTTACCAAGAAGCCAAAGCGGCAGGTGCGAGGTCCAGGTACCTGGCCACCAGCACGTGAACCATAATATCCACCAGAGCGGCAGGCACACGCCCTCTCTGGCCCCCAGTCCTTGCAACAGACACCAACAGTTACCTCCGAGTCCGTGTTGGGAGTCCAGCTCCCAGGAGAGCGGGTCCAGCATCCATTACTATAATCCGCAGGTGCGTATCATTTGCGATTGCTTAAAATGGAGTTGGACGTTGCGTAAACTTTAACAATAGTTTGAAGATTCATTTGGAAAGAGCTTACGCGCAAGTGTGATATGATATGCGAGCATGGAGGAGCAAATGAGGATGAAACTTGGCCTAGGTCTATCACTTGAGTCTTCATGCGAGGCTAGAATATAGAATTGTTAACTGTTATCGTTGACTGCCAGATAAATATTCTACGATTCAATATTATTTAGATTTTTAACTTACCAATCATTATCACTTATACATTGGCGATCAACGTGTTAATAATCAGAAGATAAAATTACTTTAGTAATCAGAGACCCAAAGCATGCCTGAACCATGTTCTCCTGAATCAGGTATGATAAACAAACGTTGAATCGTTTTCAGGAAGCCCTCTGCGGCCTCAGACAAGAGACACCCCCGCGGGACTTGCTGCGGACGCCGTGCACGTCTCCGTCGACGCCTCACAATCTTCAGACGCCGATGCCTCAGAACTGGAGTAACGCCAGCCACCTGGGATCAGGTGGTAGGTCCAGAGGCTCGGCGAAGAAGGTCCCGCCGGAAGTGCCAAAGAGAACGTCTTCCATCACCTCCAGGTCCATGGAGCCTCGTCACAATGGTCTCAGCAAGAGCGTCGAAAATGGGAGCCTCAGCTCGGTCCAAAGCTCCGGCAGCGATTCCACTAATTGCGAGAGCTCCGAGGGCGACCCACAAAGAGGATCACCTGTGTGGAAGCACAAAGGAATCGTAAGTTAGACTGTGATCAAAGCAGCCGTGTTTAGCATCAACGATAGCGTTCGTTAATTACTTCTTCTCACCGAGAACGTCGTCCTCGTGAATGGTCTCTGACCTTTATGGAACTTTGCGCAGAGATAGAGCACTGAGATATATTGGACACGTATTTTAAATTGCTCTAAAATTATCTTCAAAGTTAAAGACGAAATATAAGTATATTAAATCTCGATGTTTAATCTCGAAGTGGAAACAATTTGGTTTGTCACGAGCTATCGCAAGGAATGGATAGAAAGAACTGAATTGAATAATGCATGAAACAATTGTATCTAATTCATATATTGCGCCATACGAAATGTATACTAAAGTTTGAAAACGGTTATCAGATCAGCCGTGATAGGTTTAACGTTAATTAAATCAGTCTTTTATCCTCGAGTTCATACAAAGTCAGAGGTTGTCGATTGAACGCACTTGAATTGAAGTCCCTTGTTAAACATGTTAGATTTTTAACTAACCAACAATGTTTCTCTTCCAGTCAAGTTCACCAGAACACCAGGAATGCGTTAACCACGCGACAGACTCTGGCACGATGATGAACAGCGTGAAGGATCTCGGTCATTCCCACGCCAGCTCCGGTTATCAGCTCCCACTGATGGATCACCAGGAGAACATACCTCAGACCAGCTACAAAGTGTCCGAGACGGTCCGGAAACGTCAATACAGAGTTGGCCTAAATCTCTTCAACAAGAAGCCCGAGAGGGGTATCAACTATTTGATTAGAAGGGGATTCCTGGAGAACAGCCCGCAGGGCGTCGCGAGATTTCTCATCAGCAGAAAAGGGCTGTCCAAGCAGATGATAGGGGAGTACCTCGGGAATCTGCAGAATACCTTCAACATGGCTGTGCTCGAGTGAGTAGCTGGCCTTTTTGCGTTTTCCTTGGTCGCGCTAGGCAAGGGGGGAAAGTCGTCGAGTCGACAGATGTAGCGGTGCATTCGGTGAAAGTTAATTTATTTGTTTATCACAGTGATCGGTGACCGACGTAGCGGAAACAGCCGGCGTCGTTGCTCGCTATTATTTACTGTGGAAAGTACGCCGTTTTCACTTGTCGTTGGATTTCTAGGAAGGCAATTGTTCCAATAGACTGTGCAATTTAATCCGCTGTTTATTGGTTCCACGTACGGGGCTCCGACGAACCGTTAGAACCATTTAAGTTATGAGAAGTGACACTTACGAGTAACTCGATATCTCCTTTACTTTTTTTTTATTTTCGAATACAAGAAAGCTATGTGAATGGTCCATTTAACCTGGCTTGCCTTGTATGCAACTGTATAAAAAGGTGTGACACTATTTATGGTCACTCCTTTTGCAATTTGAAAAAAATGAGGTCAGAGTTCAAAGTGTATTTGTGGTTGAGGTGATCCGTAAAGTTGTCATGTGTCTCAGAGTAAACTCTCACCGTACTATACATATACAACTGCTGCATTCTATGAAGTTCCATATGATGAACAAATCTTGGCGAATATTTTCTAAACGTGGACTACACACAAAACCCAAAATGGATGAAATAGAACTTGACACGCAGTTTTATATTTATCAGCAACTTTGTTAAATCTGAGCCTAAACACGTGTTCCTCCGTTCCGTCAAGCCCGAGACTCGTGCTCCTAGAACTGCAACGCGCAGTGGGAGGTCTTTTACGGAATAGCCTCGGGTTCGAATTCTGAAGTAAAGCCTCGCCAGCCTCTGTTCTTCCACGAATCGTACAATTAGGGTCACAAGCGTAAGATGAGCCACTGCAACCGGACCACACAAAAGACTGAAAGTGGAACACGTGTTAAGAGGGCAGGACACTCGACGACTAATGTTGCATTTATCCCCATGAAGTGGGGTCTGGCTGACTTTGAATCCCAAACAGCGAAGCTCGAACGCCTCCATTCCTCAAGCATCGACTATGCTGTTGACATACTAGGGCTAATTAGTTTGAGAGACGCAACATACTTTACCGTTAGAGCTCGCTTGCCTTGCAAAATCAATTTCTCTTACTAATAGCGAAAATCGTTATTTTTCAGATGCTTCTCCCACGAACTGGACCTGTCAGGCATGCAGGTGGACGTCGCCCTGAGGAAGTTCCAGGCGTACTTTAGAATGCCTGGCGAGGCCCAGAAGATAGAACGACTGATGGAGGTCTTCAGCCAACGTTATTGCCAATGCAATCCCGACGTGGTGTCCAGGCTACGGTCCGCCGACACGGTATTCGTCCTGGCGTTCGCGATCATAATGCTGAACACCGACCTTCACACGCCTAATATGAAGCCAGAGCGCAGAATGAGGCTGGAGGATTTCGTGAAGAATCTCAGAGGCATCGACGACTGCGGTGACATCGACAAAGACATACTGATGGGCATCTACGAGAGAGTGAAGGAAAACGAGTTCAAGCCTGGCTCGGACCACGTTTCCCAAGTGATGAAGGTTCAAGCAACAATCGTGGGGAAGAAGCCCAATATGGCTCTACCGCACAGAAGATTGGTATGCTACTGCAGGCTCTACGAAATCCCAGACATTCACAAGAAGGAGAGACCTGGAGTGCATCAACGCGAGGTCTTCCTCTTCAACGATCTCCTCGTCGTGACGAAGATCTTGAGCAAGAAGAAGAACAGCGTCACGTACACTTTCAGACAGAGCTTTCCACTTTGCGGAATGATCGTCACGCTGTTCGAAGTTCCTCGTAAGTATCGCGTTTGGATTACAGTCATTTCGTATGTCGACGATCTTTAGTAAATAAATACTCTATCCCTTGTTAGATTATCCGTACGGAATTACCCTCTCGCAACGCGTGGATGGAAAGGTGTTGGTCACGTTTAACGCGAGGAACGAGCACGACAGATGCAAGTTCGTGGAGGACCTCAGGGAATCTATCAGCGAAATGGACGAGATGGAAACCTTACGGATTGAGACGGAACTGGAACGACAGAAGAGCAGCAGGAACGCTAGAGGCGGCGCGGAGAACAGGGATTCTGGCGTGGCGGATGTCGAGATATGCCCTTGCCCTGGGTCCTGCTCTGACAGATCGGAGACCACCGATATGGACACGCAGTTGAAACGCTCTGCGCTTAGCAATTCGCTCCTTGACATACACGAACAATGTGAGTAGGGTTGCTTGGTATTCGAATATACAGGGTGAGTCTTATAACGTGACGACCTCAAATAAATCGTAAGGTATTCGTCGTACGACAAAATGTTTCAAACACAAGTTGCATGGTATCTAGGGGGACATACAGTGATGTAATCTGTTTTTTATTACTTCACTTTTTTTATTGAAATATTAGTGTCACTTTCAGTTTTTTAAATGGAATGTCTAATATTTTTTTTCGAATTCGGATAAATCATCAAATTTTGCGTAAAAAAGTATTACATGAAGTAGGACTTCAAATGAATAATTATTGAGAGATCTTCAAAATAATAATCTTCCATTACGAAATACCCTTAGTCAACGTAATTCTTAACACAACTTTATTCACGTCGGTAGGTTTTGTTTGTAAACAAGTTCCCTGTTAAATATTAATAATCTTCAACACGAAATGCCTATTCACTATCTTGGTAAGCGTTAAAGTCGTATTGAGAAAGGTGCTACATTTTTATTACGATGTTCAGTAACAGTGAAACAACGTTATGATAATTGTTTATGGTGCGTGTGAAGAAAATGCTATAAGAGCTAAGATCTTGTACCAAGCTAAATATCCTGATCAAAATCAGTCATCGCATTCTACCTTCTTAAGGCTTAGTCAAAGACTCAAAGGACATGGCAATTTTAATGTACAGACATGTAAAAAAAAAACATGTTGAATTGAGTAATCTTCTCCTTTTCAAAGTCGGTTAAAAAGGTATCACAAAGTTGTGAATAATGAAGGATGTCGTACTTCAACCTTAGCAGCTATTGCCCATAAACTTCTTTTATAAATATCTCAGTAATTTTTCATTTGAAGTCCCACTTTATGTAATACTTTTTTACTCAAAACTTGATGATTTATCCGAATTCGAAAAAAAATATTAGACATTCCATTTAAAAAACTGAAGGAAACCCTAATATCTCAATAAAAAAAGTAAGGTAATGAAAAACAGGTTACAGCACTGTATGTCTCCCTAGATACCATGCAACTTTTGTTTGATACATTTTGTCGTACAACAAATACCTTACGATTTATTTGAGGTCGTCACGTTATAAGATTCACCCTGTAGAACGACGGGAATTCTTCAATTATTTCTACGTAAAAAATGGCAGTTGGCGCTTCAACGACAAAAAATCGTTCTTTGTTCGCAGTCGCTGGTGAGAAACCGCAGCGCCGTGGAAGCGTGGGCTCGCTAGATAGTGGTATGTCGATTTCATTTCAATCTACATCTGCCAGCTCAATGAGCCAAGGCATTAAACATCCTGGACAAGTTCACCCTATACATCCAGGGGCTACGATCCCTGGTGGTGCTAAGGGACTGGCTCAGCAGCCATCTTTTTTAGGGAGTCTGTTCGCCAAACGGGAACGAAAGCTATCGCAATCGGAGGATTCCGGCCCCTACAGTCGCACCACGGAAGTATAATATATCCTTTGAGTGGTACCTAAGGGATCTCTCTGTACATTCGGTTCTCTTCTAGTACGCTTCATGATCACGTAAGGTGTTCACAGGCTACCTAGCAGCACCGCCAGGCCCATTTTTTCAAACTTTGCATCCTGTGCACGCTACGTAATAAACGCACAGGGTACACACATCAGCTAGAAACGAGAATCTCATGCTTGATATTTCTACTTTTTATATACTCGATACTGATTCATAAACATTTTTATTATCAAATACAATGTTATAAGTACTTATATAGCGTTAATTGCCGGGTATCTTGATTGAATTATCGATTAATTTCGAAAATAGGTATGCATTAGTAAATCATTTTAGCGATGCTACTCAAAATATGTCCACGCGCTATTGGTGTAGGAATAACAGTGTATCAATCGGACTATGCGATTTCTCTCAGCTATTCTCAACAGTGAATCAAACTCGCAACATTCTGAATAGTGCTCGAATACATTTTAATAACACATAGAGAAACCGTGAAACAGGAATAATGCACCCTGTGCGTTTATTACACTGCTACTCGTGCACTAACCACGTGCAGAATTTGAGACAACTCGACGATCTGGATGTCGTACTCTTCTCGTCGGATGGAACAAGCGTAATCTTTCGCTTTTCTTCGAAGTGAAGCAGAGATGGGCAGAATTTTAGAAATTTGATTCGCCGCACAATATCTTTACGGTGTTTGTTCAATTGAGATTATATTTTGATTTGCTCGCTGTGAAATATTTCATTCCATTATTCGAGTTCAAAATTTTAGATCGGAACTTCTGCCATCTCTGTTGGTTGCATGTAAATTTATCGGATTGGGCAGGATCCAATCGCGATCGCGAGGGAGATGAAGACAGGAGGGAAATGAAGCGAAAGAGAGAGATTTTTGGTGAGATAGAACGCGAAGTAGCCCTTACTGGCACGTGTATAGTATTTATTCATCCAAAAAATCGAATCGATCCGTTCTTTCGTAGAATATTTATAATTTCTAATGCGGAAATCCGCTCGTATGTAGATAATCGTTTCGTTCAGCGCATGGGCCACCATGAACCGAGACTTTTGGCTCGTAATAAAGTTACGCGGTATAAGAAGAAGAACGGTTTATGGAGTGTGCTCTGGTAATGTCGTGTTTTGCAAGTATTGTCGCCGTAGATATACTTAAATAATTGTACATACTAGATATATAACAATTAATTGTACGAGTATAATGATTATTCTGTAACAAAACGTAGCCTAAGGAAAACGATAAGCAATCCCTCTCGATGTTAGGTGCATGTCGATGTCTAACAAGTTTTTAATATCACAGAGATGAAGTTTGAACGTAGCGTTGGCGTAAGGATTAACAGTTAAAGAACTGAAAGGAAACGGCGTTCCCCATTGTTACGATACATTCATAATCCTCTGCGAATCGTAGTTCTGCTTGTGCGTTACGAATTCAGTTTTCTCCGAACGCAACGTACTAAACAGTTTCATTCGAGATTAGTTTCTCGTCTCGTAGCGTGTAGACAAGTTACAACATCGTCATTAGCAATGTCTTAAGGATTAATGCGAGCCTTTGAGGCTTTTTAAAAAAAAAGAGGACAACTCGTATGCCTTATATACTGCCACAAATCATCATTCGGAGACGAGGAACTCATTTGCGGGTTAGATAGTAGAGACCTTTCGAGGGCTGCAGAATTACACGGAGAACTAAATATTGTATGTATATATACCATTGATTGCAATACCAATTAATAATAATTAAAAGATACCCGTTAACCCTTGGACGACCACATGATTTTACAAATTTTAATATCATCGTCTTTTTTAAGAATATACATTTCGTGTTAGTTTATCCTTTAAAAAAATAATTCACATTTTGAGTCGATACACAGTTGTGTTAAATATGTAAATCATCGCGTGAGAATTTTCTAACCGATCCCAGGCATAAATTATCCGATTGCAGTCGATAGTTGGTAGCTAAATAATGAATCTGTGGTCGTTCAAGGATAACTTCTATTCGAAGTGACTAATCGCTAAAGATGACTACACTGCGAACCACCATTCGTTTCGGATTTCGGGAGTTACTTATTATTTTCACAGTTCGGAGCATCATTAATTTTTGTATAAATACAGGAATTAATTTTCATAATTGTTTGCAACTAGAGTCGATGTTAAAATTAACATCGCTAAAGCCCTTGGGAGGCACTCTTCAGTTTCTAAACTGTGCTCCATTATGTACCGAGCCTTCAGCTGCTACAGAATACTTTCTTTACACAGAAATCTCTGAATTCTCTAAAACTAACATCTTCGCTAAGGCAGCTGAAGGTTTCTACGTTTCATAATTGCATATATTAACCCTTCAGCTGCTACAAAGTGCGTTTTTTGAGACTTCGAGGAAGCGATAGTTGTTCACATTATCGAAATAATAGATTTTCTAGAGTAGCTAACAGTTCCTATACTTCATTGTCTTCTATATTAACTCTTCGACTGCTACTTTATAGATCACCTTTTTCAAAATAATCGTCTGTTGTCTGAACGAAGCGACAAATGAAAGACAATGCGCGTTAAACGCCGGTTCTAATTATTGTTAAACTTAAAATATAGCTATTAACGTTCTCGAAACACGCATGAGGGTTTCGCAGGGATGCAAGCGTACATCATTCGCAGCTGAAGGATTAAAGGAATAAAATAACTCGAGTTATTTGGCGAGAAGTGTTCATTATAAATGTTGGTGATGGAACTGATACCATATCGATACTATCTAGAACCACGATTATTTGAAATTCTACTGTACCAGGTTGACTGCCAGACTAATAATTGTGAACATTTCTACGAGGCTAAAGTTGTTTATATGATTAGAAATGATACAGTCCAAATTCATTTTTTTAACACCTTCAGAATTAATGTATTTACTTCCTCAGTGAAAATCTTTGTCACTGTGGGTGACATGGCAGACAACGTGATGCACAATGTTACTTACAATTTATAATTTCCAAGTGGTCGAGTAACAAGATTGACTATTGAACGCAAATGTATTCGTATAGGGTATCCTAATACCGAATGGCTGAAAGGGCCTAACCGATTAAGATGGTCAAAACTGCCCTTAGAGCTTTTTCCCTAATAGCTCTTGAATCATTCGAAAGCTGATCAAGAAAAACCCTTCTGAGTAAAATTTTAACCCTCTAGCTTGCCCGTGAGGGTAAGTTACAGGGTAAAATAGACTTTACGCTTTCCGGCGCATTTTCCGATTTCAAATGCGTTCTAAAATTTTGAAAAAAGTCTGACACATTCCGGATCCTAAGTCGCATTTTTGAGAATTTTTTCAGATTTTTTTGTTGGAAACTGTGGTCATAAAAAATGAAAAACCTCAACAAAAATCAGAGAAACATTTTTTCCCCAAAAATATGAATACACTACTGTTCGGTTCCCTGATAAAGTACTGTAACAGGCAGTGTCGTCAATTTAAAAAAATTTTTTTGTTCGGCTGCTTCATCGTCAAAAACAATATAAAAATTGAATTTTTTTGTCGTTTTTGCTGCGAGTTTTTATTAGCATTGTTACGTTATGGTATCAGTCCCATGGCTGATAAAATGTACATATAGACTCCCATCGATCCGCAACAGTCCGTAGTCTACAGCGTTATTAATTCTAGTCTTTCTCATCAGGAGAGTTCTCTGGTACGCTCTAATCGCGAGAGAAACAATTCCACGGGCACTCGAAACATGTCGAATAGAAGAATCTTGACGTAGCTCGTAAGGGTGTGGATACAATAAGGATGAAACGTCGAACCGATTTAATTAATGTCTCTGCGAAAAGCTAGGATCGCGTCAATTTGCACCAAGAGCAAACGAAAAGAGTCGCTTGCACGGATTCCCGGCAAACAAATCACTTAACGGAAATTCTGTGATAATCTTCTTACGAACGAAAAAGAAAAGACTGATTAGGAAGACCACCTCTAAGTCGTCGTGTTTTGCGGGGAAGTTCTCCAGAATGTGAGAAATCGTAGAACCTCTCGCGAGCCTCGCGCATGTCCGATGACCAAACCGAAGCTGGACAACGATGATTTTTGCGACGATCACTCTTTGTCCAACTGATACGGACCACTCTGTTGGTTTTTGGTCATTCGGCAAGGACGCGCGAGGACAAAGAGCTTCTTCGCTCGATAACAACACACGTGTCAGTGTTTTTCAAACTTGTCATCGCATTTGTACAATTTCCCTCCCATTAGAGCAAACCTAATTCGTTCGATTACAATAATTGTTGAAGGATCTAACGTGCATTTAAGTAAAATAGTGAAATTTCGCTTCGACGTTAGCGCGACTGCGACGATAATAAATAAAATAATCGAGTCGATCGAGATTTATAGCGTGTTTAAAGAATAAAAGTCACGGTAGTTTGAAACAGTGCATCTTGTTGAAAGGTTTGGAATCACGGGAACAAGACGAGTAAAGTGATCGCACGACATCGAAGCAATGCAACGTTGCGTGAAACGTAATTACACCGAATTAATCGCGAATCTACGCTAGATTCGATCCAATTTGACGCGATCTTGAAGAAATTCAAATAAAAACCATTTTTAAAACGAGGAAACGATGGCAAACGCGTCGCCAAGCTCAGCGCATTCTATGATTTGATGAGAAAGTAAATAACTACGTTATTATTAAGAGTAAACAATTGCTCCCCGTACGAAAGTATCGCCCCCTTTGTTAATCTAACTGAACGCTGTATGCACATTGTGTTAATAAAGAACTATGAGTCTGAAACGTGTAAAAACGACTAATAATAATTATTCTAAAATATAACGAATAATACAATATAAAACTATATCTGTGCTAAAACTATCACTGTGCTAAATATTCATGTAAAGTATACATTTCGTGTAACTTGGAAGTATTCGGCAATCGTGCGTAATTTTTTTATTAAAATGACATTAAAAGAAATTGAAAGTCACAATTTCTATCTATCGAATGATTAGATGTAAGTACAAAGAATTTGTGACCACGTGTACTCGAAACGTGGCAAACGGAGGTATCGCCATCTAGCGGAGGAGGTTGAACTAATTTTCAAGCAAAACGTGGCGCCATCTATCCACGAAACGCTCAAGTTTGTTGAGGAATAGTTTCTACTCTCGACCGCTAGATGGCACCATTAAAATGTTCAGAAACGATTTCTCAGCTTAATTGTAGTGTCATCTTATCGCAAACCGATTCGTAATCGTTAATATATAAGTTAGAACTTGGTTAATACTCTGTTTTTTTTTTAGTAATTAATAGCATTCATCTGTAAAGAAAGACGTGGCTCCATCTAGTGTTCTGGAACGGGAACTAATCCGCAAAAAACTTGGGCATTTTGCGTATAGATGGCGCCACATTTCTTCCGCTAGATGGCGATACCTCCGTTTGACAGGATTTGTAAACACATTAAAGTAATGTATATTAGATTTATGATGAAGTTAAACTTTACATATAATGAAAGAATAAGATTTATTATTAAAGGAAAGGTTATAGTACAAAAGATGATTTTTCAAATTGACTAAATAATAATTTATTTAGTGATAAATTCTGTATACATTCGTTCAGTTTCTTGTAAAGATAAAATTGTACTTACGTAGTACAGGTCGAAGAAACAGAGAGTAAGGTTTACAGATTTCAAGATACTTGAATCTTTTCAATTCATTTATATGATATATATAATTGTAATAATGGAGTCGCTAAGACGACGTGAAACAATTAACCCCTTAAACTTCATCAGTTAATTTTCTTAATTTAAACGGTAATATCTGCGCGTGCGTTTCGAAATGAAAGTAAAAGATGAAAATGAAGATTTGTTCTAAAATAAGAACAATTAAAGTCGAATTAATGTTTCCTTCGCTTATCACGATCGTCCCTTCGTGTTTCACGGTCCTCTTTGCGTTTTGTGGTAGTGGTGGTCGAACTGCTGGCACGTTTAGCTTGTTTCAAGAACTGATCCAAACCGAAAGGATCCTCTTCGTCTTTCTCAAATTGTACTGGCCCCGAACGCGTAGCTGATCTGTCGGTTCCGCTGAATTCCTTGTCCGGAACGAACCTAACGTAATAGAAAAAATTGCTCCACTAATTTCGGTATATAGGTTAGTTTCTGTCATACATAGTATGACTGACAAACCGCCATAATTCTAATAATACAATTAAAAAAGCACGCAAACCTGTTTGTTTTAACAAGCTTCTCCAAATCATCTCCGTAAGTGTCCTTGTCGATATTTTTGCTAGGACGGTATATGTGCGAACCAACGGAATTCGAATCTTTCCATGGTTTGTCGTAAACGTTGTATTCGTCATCGTGTCCATAGCCACTGTCCATTCCCTTGGTTGTGTTAAACAAGCGCTGATCGAATTGTGCTTCCCCAGCGCTGGGGATACTTTTCGCTGGCAAACCAAGCGCTATCTGTTCGCTAATGTCACGCTCGCGTTCTCGTTGCAATCTAGAGCGTTTATCCGGTGCAGCACGCGCCAAATTGCGCTCTCGAGCACGATCCTTGTGTCTTTCTTGCCTCAGCTGATCCCTTTCTCGCGAATCCTCTGATTTATCTACGCAACATTAAACATACAATGTTAGAGTACATCATACCAGAGCTAGAACTAATTCCAAATAACTACAACTATTTTCGATATGTAACGTGTATACTATTTTTGTACAAACCCAATGCGGCAGAGGACTTCAAGCCAGCACGTTCTTCTCTGGCCTTCTGCGCAAGCTGTCTCAAATGGTCTTCCTTCTTTTCTTTTTCTTTTTGAGCCAATTTCTTTTCGAGCTGTGCTCGCATTTCTACAGCCTCGCGAGCTTTTCTGTCGGCTATGTATAGAGCTTCGGCTAGTTTGGCAAAGTTCTCGTTAATGTGAACTTGTTGCAAACCGCGACCATCCGCAGCCAAACGCTTGTCCAGAGGAATCGTGTAACCCTGCGAACAAATCACTGCTTTGTAGAACATGTTCGTCGATATGGTTAATGGAACTGATTGAATTTACCTTCGCGTTCTTCCAGTTACTGATACAGGGAGGTATCTTCCATTCTTTTTGCTCCTTTACCGTGACTTTCCTTGTAGGGGAATGCATAACAGGCGCTGGAGGAGACGGAGGACCTCTTGGTATTTTTTTATTAATTCTACAATCGAAAGATAGTAAATTATTTGACGTATTTGGATATATATTGCTTTGTTGGACAACCAAAATTACACTATTGCTATACTCACTTAAATTTCGGCGGTTCCAAGGGATCAATCTGAGCTTCTACCATTCTAATAACCCTCTGTTTGGCTCCCGAGTTGAATGACTGTCCTTGTTGCGAAGGTGTGTACCGAATGTATTGAGCCGGAGCTTGTTTCTCCGCGCATCTCACTGGCATGGCTGCTGCAATTTTCGATCTTGTTATTTTTTCTAAAGCTTTTCTAGTCTTTTCTGTTAATTCGTCGATCTCCTCCGTAGGTGGACGTTGCAAAGTGGGATCCTCCTCGTTCGTTATTTCCGAAGGTAACAAATCGCTCAGTTTGCTATAGACGATCTGTAATACAATGTATAATGTACAACATAAACACAAGAACATACAGAGATAAACACCGAGGTTTGTATATTGGATAATTAATTAAGTTACCTTATCTTTAGAATGTCCTTGTCTAGCAATCATGTCATATTTTACTTTCCCATGGGCATCTAGTTGAACTGCTAAAGCATTGCTCGTGGATTCTTTTCCCTTCATTCCCATATTGAGCGGATATTGGGCTACATGGATTTCTGGGAAAGCTCCTCCATCTCCAAAATCCTAAACATATTACAAGAATGTTTAACAACTTCTAAATAACAAAAACAATGTATAATGCACAGTTAGGTTCTTTGTTCAACTCTTAACTATAGTAGCGCAATATCGGTTGTAACATGGCTTACCTCAGCACATCGTGGGACCCATCCTTTACGTTGCCCATATGGAGGGGCAGTAACAACAGCCTTAACCAATGCTGATACAGGCCTCTGGCGCAGCTTTTGTTCTCGTGCTTCATCTTCTCTATCCCACACCACCTGAGTTGGTGCAGGTAACAAACTGCAAAGAAACATACAGGGTATAAATATCCTTATAAATTAGTGATGTTGTAGACATCATTTGCAAATAACTAAACTCGTTAAAAACGTAGTTGCAATTAATGCACAGTTAGGTTCTTTTTTCAACTCTTAACTATAGTAGCGCAATCCTAGAGACCAGACTAGACATCAAAAAGGACTTTCAATTCGTGATAAACTATAAAAAGAATGTCTTCAGCAGATGTGTTACGTTAATTTCAAAGCTCTATTAAACACAACATTGTCACGACTGTAGTTAAGGGTTAACAAAGTCTGTAGTGGACATTATTGAAACCACTGAAACATATCACTTGAAAATTGTTATAATTAATAATGTTGAAACAACAATTTGTAAATTCACAATTTTACGCGTGATAAGAAAATCAATTTTTAACAAATATCACTCGTGCTAACCTTGTCAGCGACATTTTATGAAGCGTAAAACGCAGAACCTAACAGTAAAGACCATCTAAAAACAGTCACGAAATATGTAACATTGCGTGCATATAGTGAGACAACTGAACCTGATTCATGATCCATATTACTAGAAACTACTAGGTTTTACAAGTGAGCGGAGCGTATTGCGCACTACGGTGAGCGAACAGAAGAGCGGCGGGCTAATTTAAATTGAACGATACATTCTCGATAATTTCCCTTTATTTAGCATACATTTCCGATTAATTTTCCTTCGTAATCTTTAACATTTCCCTTCAATTCCTGGTATATTTCCCATTAATTTTACTTCATTTCCTGGCACACTTCCAATTACTTTTCCTTCATATCACGGCATATTTCCTCCTTCATTGCCATCTATTTTTTGATATATAGACATAAGTGAAAATATGTACAAGTAGTTATAAGTAAGCAGTAGTGAAATAACTTGTAATAATATGGTGCCTTTATTAAACAATCAAACAAAAAAACAAACAAACGTGTCACATTTTATTCGTGCCACCTCCCCGGATATCATGTTCTCCTGATACCAAAATGTAAAACTCGAGGCAGAATTTCAATACGTACCATGTATTCCTCGTGCCACCTCTTCGCATATCATGTGCTCCTGATATCCAAATGTAAAATCGGCCAGAATTTAGGTATGTACCGAAAATGTGCCTCTTAAATTAGGCACTACACTTACAGATACGTCGGCGGTTGCCTACTTTTAGGCGCAAACGTGCCACCTCTTCACATATCATGTCCTCCTGATACCAAAATGTAAAATTTGTCCAGCATTTCGATACGTACCAAAATTCTGGCCGATTTTGGATTTTGGTATCAGGAGCACATGATATGCGAAGAGGTGGCACGTATGCGCCTACAAGCAGGCAACCGGCCCGATATATCTGTAAGTATAGGTTGCCTAATTCAAGGGGCCCCCTTTTGGTAAGTATTGAGATTCTGGCCGATTTTACATTTGGGTATCAGGAGCACATGATATGCGAAGAGGTGGCATATTTGCGCCTACAAGCAGGCAACCGGCCCGACATATCTGTAAGTTAAGGTTGCCTAATTCAAGGGGCTAATTTTCGGTACATTTCGGAATTCTGACCAATTTTGCAAAGTCAACAATGTTGCAAATCGCTCCCCTCAAGACTTCAACAATGTTGCAAACGCAACAATGTTGCAAATCGCTTCTCTCAAGACTTCAACAATGTTGCAAACTCAACAATGTTGCAAATCGCTCCTCTCAAGACTTCAACAATGTTGCAAATTGCTCCTTTCAAAATTGTGATGGGAAATGTCGGATTTTTACTCCTGGTATCAGGAGCACATGATATGCGAAGAGGTGGCACGTTAGCGCCTACGAGCAGGCAACCGTCCCGACATATCTGTAAGTATAGGTTGCTTAATTCAAGGGGCCCCTTTGTGGTAAGTATCGAAATTCCTGCCGATCTTACATTTGGGTATCAGGAGCACATGATATGCGAAGAGGTGGCACGTTTGCGCCTACGAGCAGGCGACCGGCCCGAATATATCTGTAAGTATAGGTTACCTAATTCAAGGGGCTTCTTTGTGGTAAGTATCGAAATTCCTGCCGATCTTACATTTGGGTATCAGGAGCACATGATATGCGAACAAGTGGCACGAATAATAACTAGTACGTACGTAATACTTACCAGATTTTACGTTTTGTTATCAGGAGAACATTATTATATGCGGACAAGGTCAGGAGGTAACATAAAATACCGATAAATTGTCAAATGCAAGAGGTTGAATGAAAGTCTGAAGTGAATCTCTATAATTAATCGAATCTTTATTTATTTACTTTTTCTGTATAGCTTTTTTTGTCGACTCCTTAGCGCAAAAAGGAGATGCACTTTCTAACTACAGAATAGCATTGATAAGCTTATATAATAGGTATATTTTTTATGCGGTATTAAATACACTTTACACATCGTAATATTATTTCGTTATAAAAAAAAAGAACGATTGTTAAATTTCAAGTATATATCATTTTCTCGTGTGCCTTGAAGAAAATATGATATGTGTACATATCTCTGGTACTTTAATACGTTAAGATTATTGGTCCCGGACAGACATTTTCAAATATATAATATTTGCAACATATATTATGACATCTACAACTTAAACCTTACGTTGCACACGCGCTTGCATGTCGTCTCCATCATATATTTCAACGTTCCTCTTAAAGTCAGGTACACTTTAAATAATTTCAGTAACAATCGTCGCGTGTCAGGAGTGATTCTTTCTTATATCATGATACTCATGATGTATCCAAAAAAATTCATCAAACGACTTAACAATCATAATAACACTTAATCAACAATTTTCTTTATCTTATAATTTTTTGTGTTACTTCTCCGTTATTATGAAAACTGTATATTGCATAATGGATCATTTCGTACAGAAGAATCAAACTTTACACAATGATTGTTTAAAAATTAGGACTTTCCTGTAAGAATCTCCATCAAATCATTATTATTTATATTATAGATCTATCTCTATAAATTTCAGTGAGTTCAATACTTGCGTTGAACATGTTACAAAACTTCTTAGAAGTTATCATCACGCATCGAAAGTATTTCCCAATCTTAATGTTTGATTTATAAAAATAAAAGAGAAGCGAGTGACCAATATATTAATTTGTCGTTAATTTGGATAGCATAATGCAGAACTAAATAACTGTATTCGATTGCAAAGAGTCACCGACTCTCGCGGATTCTTAAACTATTAGAATCAAGTACTCTGTTCGTTCAAGTTGTCCATAGTCTTTTCTTGCGTGGCGAACTCGACGTGTTCCACGTTATCAAACAACGCGAATAATAAAGTAAATTTATACTTCGAGTAAAATTTGTATAGTACATAAAAATAATTTACAAGGGATGTTAATGTATCGTGCAGCAAAGATAGCATGTACATGCCTTTTCCTAACGTTTTCAGAGGAACTATTTATCGTTTGCTACATTGTTCCATGTTACGATTGAGGTTTCTTGCGTCTACCAAACAGATTGCTCAAAACAGAACTCCGTTTGTAATCACGGTCCTTGCGATTGCTACCCATGCTGTGTTCGCTTTCTGATCCACTTTCGCTGGGTCTCCTGCCGTCAACCACTGTTATGTTTTGAGTGTTCTGAGGCACGGCGGGTGGCGCCACGTACGGTGGCAGAGACACTGGCCGACCTGTGAAGGAATTATTTTGCTGCAAACCCTACAACATAAATGTGAAAATTATAGGTATTATACACAAATTATGAATGTGTAATTTATGAAGAAATATATTGTTGTAAAAAGTTCAATTGTCTATGTTATATTTGAACCTCACATCCCATCATGTTGAACCATGTACAGAGAATGAGTGCTCTGGTAGCTAAGCTTTGAAAGTATAATTACCTGTCTAGTGTTCACTGAGACATTTCCATAGGCTGTAACAGAAAACAGTGCTTTTTATTTATCGTTATTGTTAAAGCCAGTTTCATGTTACCGTCAAACTTTCTCGAGGCATATAGATGAAAAAAAGAGTATAGGACATATTCTTGAGTTCTTAAAAATAAAAAATGCAGGCCAGGAAAAGCAAGAGAAGACAGATGAATGTGTTGGGATGTTAAACTGCAGCATGCAAGAATGTTGAACAAGAAAAACTTGACTAATAAATGACAATGACTAACCAGGATCATGAGAAGCATTCCACTGAGCCATTCTGATTGGCGGAGGGGCACTCAATGGCAAGGGAGGTGCTAATTCTATAAAATAATGACGAATGTTTATTGCTCGATGGAGGGAGGGTCGTCTATGCATCCATACAATGCTCAAAGCGCTCTTCTAAAAATGTTTATAATACCTTGTTGAGAGTTTAAGTCCCCGCTACTTTGTCTATGCCATGTGGGAGTAGTCGAGTACTGACTAGACCCGTTGTGGTTCAATGTCTGACTACGTTGTTGGTAGAAGGCAGGTCTTCCTTGCACATGTTCTACATCTGTGAAATTATGCGTGCATTACTACTTCGAATACCCCACCGAAACGTTGACTGTTATAAATTAAATACCTTCACGTCTGTACTGGGGTAAAGCTTCCGAACTCGGTGAACGCATAGGAACAGGTGGCGGTGCTCCTCTAGGTGGTATCGGTGGCTTTTCTCCTGAATTAGGTTGATACTGCTCCCTCTGACTCGCCAACTGTTCCTGCTGTATCAACTGTTGCTGCTGCGCCATCAACTGTTGCTGTCTATGCATTTGCAAAAACTCTGTTTGCGTTTGATGCATCTCTGGTCTCTGATTAACTACGAACTCTGCGTTGTTCTGTGGATCGCGTCTCTGTTGGTTCTGCCTGTGCATCTGAAGAAACTCGATCTGAACGCTGCTGGAGGAATTGGGAACGTCTCGTCTGATCACAGAGTTCTTCCTTTCCAGCTCAGGCGTCGACGCGTGGCTACTACCAGTCGACGCGTTGTCATCCGCGTGCTCCACGGACACGTTTTGCAGCCTCTGCAAGCTCTCTTTCTGCGACTCGTCGTAGCTCAGAAGTTGCAGGCTGGGAGGCAGCTTGGCGTGGAACGATATCTTGTTCACCCAGTCTTCCATCTCTTGTTGACTCGGTGCGAGGAACAGGAACTCTGATCCGTCTGTACACTTCAACCTGAACACGTTCTTCTTCTTCGTATAGTCGTCAGCTTTCTCGCATATGGCGTTGAAAATGGTGATGGGCGCGGTGGCTGCTTTGCTCAGCGAGAAGTCCTCGATATCTTTAAAGAAGCACAACAGTTGCCCGCAGAGTACCGTGTAGTACTGCTTCCACGAACGCACGGCTGCCTTTTTTCCAGCACTTTGCAACTCGTGTTTCCTCTCGAGCAACCCTTGAATTTCTACTGGAGGGAGCGCGTCCATATTTTCCATTCGCTGTAGCTTCCTGAAGCTCTGAGTCCTCCTTCTGGTCGTGAAGCTGGGCGTCCTCTTCGGTTTCTTCGTATCTACCTTCATGCTCTCAGCTCTCTTGATGTCTGGCGTCGTTCTTCTCAATTTCTCGCCAAACACATGCGATATGCCGTGTGGTTTTTGAGTTGGAGTCGAGTCCATGCTTTCAGACGTGGTAGAGGTCTTCAGGGGC